TACAAATTTTTCGATTCATTCATTTACATCAAACTGCTTTAAAATCCAATGTTACTGCCTAAAACATCTACATTACACATGCAGTACGAGTATTTTGACATAATGGTGAATAAATGAATATGTATCACGAATACCATTTGATCTGTTTGCCTAGCACGTGTAATTTAATTTCTAAATTCAATTCACGCAAGAGATTGCAACTCACTCGCGTGGAAATTGCAACTATTCTCGTTCTAGAGACTCGAGAGACACTGAATGACGCCTACCGATTCTTGAATGGAGGCTCTTGAGTGTAGGATGACAATCATTAACGGACCCGACTTCCGGTACAAATTAGCAATTGTATAATTATATTTCCTGATGCTGACCGCAAAGATACGTGCGCCGCGCAAAATTTGTGACAGTTAAAATGAAAAATGAATTGAAATAATAGTCTAAGACATTGAAATGGTTTGTAATTTATAATTCACTTTAGAGTGTATTCAATCTAATTATTTTATGAAAGACAAAAATATTTTAGATTAAATTTGGGATGAACAATTATATTCATATGATGATGACCTATTAAGGTGCGCTCACATTTGTTATTGTATCTTATTTACGTATTTAGTAATAACGAAGGTTGACGCACGATCTGTTTCTAAATTTGTTTACTAACCTATACACATAATTATTCAACGTAAATTTACTGAATTTTATTAATAATGAAGGCTTCGTCCAAATCTGTTTAAGAAATGAAGAAAAGAGTTAAAAAGCTGTCAAAGATTTGATCTAAAATCTGGTTGAATTGATATAATAAAAATTTCATTAACCCATTGAGAATCAACATTTCATTCGTAATTCTTTTCAGTCGATTCAAACATTTTATTTTTCATTTTAATTTTGTATTGTAGCTATAAAAAAAGATGTGCTTAATGCTTTTTCATTGTCTTCGAACCAAATCCTACAATTCTATGAAGTCTAAAAAAATTGAAATTTTTAGTATTATAACAAATTTTAGCTTAATTCGTAATGTATTAAATGACCTGAAATCTTTTTAGATTTTCTAAAAATAGAATAATAAAAAAATTAGGCGTGAACATGAAGAATTCCGTACACGTAGTGCGGTAATATGCTATGAAGGATTAAAAAATAGAAATTTGATTGAAAATAGCTTTACATGTCAAATATCATAAAAAAAAAATACAAGGCGATTTTTAAATGTTTGTCATCTATAACTCGAAAATTAAGATATATAGAATATAGATTTACATGACATTTTTTACGTATTTTAATTAATATGAACGTGTATCCTGTAATTTTATATTTTGAAATTTTTTATAAATATAAAAAAATTCGTAATCTAGTTATTGTGAATTTTTAGACAAATTTAATTTGTTTTTATGTAATGCTTTGAAAGAGGAAGATTACTGAAATTCTATTCTTCTTGATTCCTTATTAAATAGTTATTGAACATTTCAAATGAAATTATGGAAAAAATTTATTTTGAAAATTTCTCTTTTTTTTTGCCAAAGAAAATGAAAGAAATAATGAAATCTAGTTATAAAAAATTTAGTTTTAGAGCAAATTCTCACTGTACGTCGAGAACTGCTTAGTCTAGTATTATAAGTACAGTGCGCTGAAAGGAACACAAAAAGCTCTTAACCTTTTCGGTACGAATTTTTTTTATGTCATTTATTAACATCAACGAAGTGTTTTAAATGGCAAAGCATTTTTGTGTCCTAAATTCCGTTTTATATACCTATATTTCTACATACCTATTTATAAATATTTCATAGTAGATAATTTACTGAAGAAATTTATTTTAGTATAAAAAGATTCAGTGGAATTAAGTTAAAAATTATCAAATTCAGGAGTTACTACTGTAACTTGAAATATGATGCAAAATATTAATTTTTAAAGAAATATTTTGCAATAATAATATACATATTTCATGCAGCACGCTCTGGATTTATTTCGAAACCTTATTTCCAAAAATTGATAGGAATAACACTGATTTTGATAATAGAGATTCGAATAGTTCACTGTCTGCTGTATATATTGTCACTCATAAGTATTTCAACATTTCCATATTGTTTTTAGATGTATATATTTATCCTACATATATAAATTTATATATCTATTATTTTAAATTAAATATATGAAATATATTTTGAATAAAACTTTTGAATTGTGGCGTCATGTGATTTTTAGTTGTTAATAAACATAAAAAAATGTAGTACAAAATATTCAGACAATTCATAGTTAAGATTCAAACTTGGACGTATTTTATTTCAGATAAAATAAAAAATTTCTTAAGTAGAATATCACAGAAAATCATTATTTCGTGATGCTTTGATCTAATAAGAACGAACGACAATTCAATAATATTAAAATTGAACAATTTCTTTGAATATTAAAAAATGTTTAAAATAACAAGAGTTTGAGATAACAAATGTTTGAAATAACAAGAGTTTTATCAACGAGAGACAATTTTCGAATGTTCATCACTTATATTTAACAGAATTGGGCTATGACTATTATAGCAACAAAAAATAATCATAATATAAATTAAAAGTATTAAAGAATTTAGAAAACTCGAAAAATATGAATAATTGCATTATTACATAAAAAAATTCTTACATCGATGTTCGTATTTATTCATATTATAAAATTATATATTATTTTTCAAAATGACACGCTCTGTAGAATTAGATTTCGAAAAATGATAGTTGACTCAAACGACTTGTCTGGTGATCAAAAGTAAGAGTATCCACGTTCTCGTGTACAGTTCTCCATGATTACAGAAAAAATTTCGTGAGTCACCTCTCACAAGTGAAAGCTGTCTTATCTCAAAAGAATCATGTGATCAATATAAAACATGTTTTTTTGATAACTCTTTCTATATCCCGACTTGTTATAATTTTTTAAAACAAATATCTCTAGATTCATATTTATACAATGCATTTACTTTATTTTCTTAAACGAAATATATTGATTAATTTTTTATTCATGATTTCTTAGATCAAAATGACAAAAATCAATTCTTCCTCATTCAATTAGATAAATGTTAGATTAATTGCACAGTTAAATTAATATTATTAGAAAAATGTTACAAATCGCATGTTTACTGCTACTAATAGATTATTAAGAATAGTACTACTTCTTTTATATAATAGTAAGAGATCTAATAATGAAATAATAAAAATGTAAAATGAAACAATAAGTAACGTACAATTCTTAAATTAACTAAACATCTAATCATCCTATTTGAATAATTGCGCCAAATAGTTAAATTGTGTAACAAAAATACATATTTTACATTGTCAGTTCAGTAGTATTATTAGTAGAATATTTACTTATTTGTGGAAAATTTAAAAATACATAAATACATACAAAATATTATAAATGATCACAAAAGATATGTGAAACCACAGTACTTTTCATAATATCTGGCAAGTATTTAATAGTCAATTATTGCAAAATTTTTATACAAAGTCTTTTGTAAGTATGATACGTGCAAAGATTTCTTAGAATTTTTCCTAAAAATATTGTGTCTATAAGGAAACATATTTCCTTCATTTCCTAGTAAGGAAAATTTCCATCGAAAACTAAATAATAATTCCATGTATCATATGTATATATACATATGTAGCATTATTATTGTTCTTATTGCTAATTTTATAATTTGTGCTTCTATACTTTAAAGTCTATGTTTCTTTCACAGTTACTTATTTGAACAATAAAATTTTTATCTATGTTCTTTCTTCTTATTTATTTAAACACTTTATAAAACAACTAAACGCAGCGTTTCACAAATTATTCAATTTAAACATTTAATAAAATAACCAAACGCACTATGTTTCTGTTAGAGTTCTTTCTATCCATACATCCCGTACATTATATCCCGAACTCTGATTTTGAATTATTTAAAAAAAGGAATGCCTCGTCAATTTCAATGATCTTGAATATGTTATCAAGATCATGATCCTGAGTCAACTTCTCCTTAAACATGATACTCGATCTCGGTTTCCGAGGTTTCCACTTCCGGTTGGCTGAAATTTTGAAGATATTATACTTCATTTTATGTAGAAACAATGTATACAAGGACTTTTGGTGAAAGATACAAATGCAATTAATAAAGTATTGAAAATACTTTTATGTATATTTGCATCCCGTATTTCAACAAATTAAAAAAATAAATAGTCTAACTGAAATATTCATTTCATTTTAAAAAATTATCAACTCTTTAAAAATATATGAAAAAAAGAAAAAATATCAAAAGGAACGATATTAGTTGGATATTTTTATTGGGTAAAAGAATAATCGATATTAATCAAACAAATCTATCATTTGAAAATATTTCACAAAAATAAATGATTCTTAATGAATAAGTTATCTGTGGAAATATTGTTATATATACTGAAGTATAGACTATAATAGACTCTCGAATATCCTATTACATATCCAAAAATCATTGAAATTAATGAAATTTGCCCATTAAAAAATACTATACCAAAAGCAACTGAGTTATTTATAAATATTTTTATAAATAACTCAGAAATTAAGATCGATTTGTGTGTGTGTGTGTGTGTGTGTGTGTGTGAGAGTATAAATCTGCTCATTATCCACGTAAAAAAATATCATTTTGTTATATAATTTATGATAATATACAATTATTATATATTGTTATAATTATTATATATATAATTATTATATATATATTTTTATATCGTGTATCTTATAATTTATAAAAAATTTAAATACTTATACAAAATAATATATAAAAAAAACTATAAAAATAAACATTAATACATTTTGCAATAAAACAAAATTATTTGAAAGTGTAAAATTTAGAAATATAGAAAAACATAAAATTTCCAACATATAATATTCTTTATATTTAACAGGTGAACTAATTTTCTACTTAGATTTCATCTTTTTAATTATTTTTGCATAAATATCCACAATCTATTTATTGCAAATGAAACAAATATTTGTACAAATAAAATTAACAAATAACATATTTGTTAATATATATCTTGTAATAGTTTGTACATTTCAAGGTACTACATTTCAAGGTATTTCATAGGTATTACATTTCAAGATTAAAAATATTGTTATAAATCGATGATAGAAGTATACCTAAAAAAGAGATAGAATCCTGAACAAATAGCATCATTATTTTTAACACGAAACTACTAAACATCATTATTTTTAATATAAAATCAGATTATTAGCTTTCAAAAGTTATTTTTTGAAAAAAGCTAATATTTAAAACTTTCTGTACATTTTGATCTTTCCTGAGTCTCCTAGGGTTTAAACGAATCAATTTTTATTTTTGATCTTAGAATTCAACTCTCGAGATTAAATTTCGAAATATTGATATTTAATATTATTATAATCTTGAAATATTTAAATTTAGAAACTTAATTACTTTAATTTGTTCAAAAGAGCAATTAATAGAAAAAGATAATCGAGATAAAATATTTGATATGATATATTTTTGTTATAGATTCTTTGGACTGCTCTCTCTGTTGCTCTGGGCGTTGAATTGCGAGGAGATTTGGTACGTGGTGTACCATGCATTAAAAAATATCATCAGCTGTTTTGTCCAACTGCAGGAAATACATATCCAATGTAATATTTTATTATATTTTGAATAATATTTTAATAATATTTTATATTATATTATAACATGTATTTAATATATAGCAACATATATATAGTATATTTACTTATATAACAGATATTTATTTGACATAAACGATAAAATATATTAAAAATATTTCATTGAACGTTAATATTATTTGTTGTTAAAAAAAATCCGTGAAGGATATAGAAACTTTGTTTAATAATTATCTATTTCTCTGTGATAAGTTTAAGTTTTTTACAAATCTTTACGAAAATTTTAAACTTCTAGAAATGCAAATAAAAGTGGAACAATAAAGAGCGAAAGTGGATCAGTCAATCTCAATATTCGATAAATTAATTGATCTTGTTACATCTAAAATCGATGTAAATAGAAAATATTTATGGCAACAATTGTTTTCGTTGTATTTATATACGTAGTTTTATTATTTGGAAAAATTTAATTTTTTCATTTTTGTGTAATTGCAACTCGTTTAGAAAAAAATATGGCCTGGTCCATTTTTGTTTTCAATGCTTCAATTAGTAATAATAATCATTAATCGAGTTTAAAATTATTTTAATTCTACTTTATTATACATGTTTTGTTATGTTTTTTTTTATTCTGTTATCTTAAATATCTCATTATAATGGGTCACGAAAGTATTCAAATACTGAGAGAACTTTTATGTATGTGTTATATAAAAAATTTGAATTATAATTAATATAATTAATAAACTTAAATTATTATTAATATAATGGAATATCATGATTATACTAATGAAATTTAAAGTCAATCGAAAAATCTATACAGAAATTACAAGATATTTATTGTAAATATTTGGTAAAAAATTAATATATGCCTATCATGAATAACTTAAATAACAACTTAAGCATATGATATATTAAAAATAAATTTTATATATAAATATTTTTTTATATATGTATGTTCATGAAAAAAAAAA